GCGAGCGGCGGCGCCTGGCGCGGCTCTGCGCCGAGATGTGCCGGCGCTGCGCCCCGGCCGCCGCCGCACGCCCGCAGGTGCTGCGGCTCCTCGGCCGGCGGTTCGCGGAGCTGCACGCCGCCGTGCCCGGCCTGCCCCTGGCGAGCTCCAGGGTCCTGCCCGGCATCGTCCTCCGGAGGGACTTCGCTGCCTACTGCCCGACGGACGGCGAGCTGCGGGCCCTGCTCGTCACCGAGCCCCTGCGGCCCGCCCTGACGGCCCCCGGTGTCGAGTTTGTTGTCGACTCGGAAGGTCAGTATCAGGCTTCCCTGCGCTGGATCACTGCGAGGACAGAAGCCTTAATGAAACACTTGCAGAGTAACAATGTTAAGCTGTTACTGTCGAGTGTGAAGCAAGAAGAAATAGTTATCTACTATGCCAAATTATATGGTGTGTCTGTGGTAGAGTGCTTATCGTCGGAAGAAATGGCCCTTATCAGTGAAATCACGGGTGTCTCCCCTTACGTGCCTTTTGGTGATAGCATGGACCGAGAGATAACCGAAACTGCAGTGGTAACGTTTTGCCAGCCCTTACTGCTCGTCTCCAAGAGATGTGTCCACATTGGCTTTGCCAGCGTGTGTGCCTTCCAGCCCCATTGCCTGATCCTGTGTGGGCCGGTCGATGGCGTTAATGAGCAACATGCTGCTGCTTTACAAGAGGCCTTCACAATGCTGCAGCAGCTGTTTAAAACACTCGATCAGAGGCAGGAATGGAAAGCGGAAGGTGAAAGCCAGAGCAAAGCCTCAGATGTTTGCACTTGGCATTCTGCAGCTACTCAGAAACAACTGGTAATAGAAAATACTTGTAATAGTAACCAGGTTTCTGAAAGTCAGTTGAAAGCACTTAGTGACGAAACAGAGAGGAAAAATTTTGACCCTGATAAAAGTGATCTGCTGATCCACAATCAAAAGAACCACAGCACTCCTGTGTTAGTGGCACATAACACTGATGCAGTCGTTGCCTGTGAGTGCCTGGATGTTGGCAAAGGTCTAGAGAAAACATGTTGCCATATAGTTCCATTTAAACAGGAGGAGAGTTGTGCAGGTATTGCACAGGATTACTCCAACTGCCTCATAGAAGCGGGATCAGTTTTGCCAGTAGGAGGTTACTTTGAAATCCTGTTACATTATTATATTCAGGATTACGCAAAAGAGTGTCAGCAGTCAGAGGTAATGACCGTATCTAATGTGGTTGCTGATGCTTTGCTAAGTATTCCCAAGGCCTTGTACGGGACAGCAGAACGGGGTGGCTTTACCAAATTCTATCTTGAAGCCATTAATTTACTCCAAAAAAATCAGCCACTGCCTGTAAACGATGAAGGCTTAGAGTCAGTGTATTGCAAATACCAGTTAGTCATTTCAGTTCTTCATTGTGTTACAGAGCTTCTCTCCATAGACTTAGTAATTGGTATTAGGCGGCCACTCAAAAAAATTGAGGATCGTGACTCAGAAGATGACACTTGAAATCATTAATAAAGAATGATTTTTGTATGTGCTGTTTCATTGTGTCTTCTTGTCAAGTGGACATCCTCAAAAGTCCACGCAAGAAACTAAAAGATGCTTCTTCTCTTAGAAGATAAAGGCTAACTGTCAGTCTAGGACACAAAATAGAAGGACGCGGATACTGGATTTTCTAAGGTGAAAAAGAGAGAAGTTTAATTCTGACTCCAACATTTATAGATTTCTAAAAGTGACAGTGGATTGGAGGGTGAATGTGCCACCTCTCCAATGACACTAGACAAACCAACAGTCCATCAAATTTCTCCTCCTCCAGAAAAGAACGCAAAACAATTATTTACATAAAGTCCATAAAAAAATTTGTTACAAGAATGTAAACATCAGAAGGCTTAAAAGAACTCAAAAAAACCCAAAACAACAGCTGAGACTGTAGAAAACTGGGTTGTGAGTAATATGAGCTTGACATTTTGAGTGTGAGGAAGTGTAGCCGATTTCTGCTGCAAAGGTGGGCAGTGCAGTCTCCATCCACATGCTGACGATCCTGTGTACATTCAAGCCAAGGGTCAGCTTTGCCTCTTCTGGTGGATTGAGTGTTTTCACAAGCTAGATATAATTTGTTTTCTTGGCATGTTAAAAGTTGCCAGTATGACCTGAGCCACTGAACTTTCAAGTTACAAACCAAGGGGTGGATTTTGTAGCCTTCATAATTAGCCAGATTAAGTGTTTTTTTTTTAAATGAAAATATTTTTTATACATCATGATTTTGACTATAAAGGGGAAAATATAACTTGTTAGCCTGTTCAGCACTGGGGCAGGCAGCACTGTTGTGTATGCCAATGAAGAATTTTCTGATAGGAGATGCAGCGTTTTTATCTTCCATTGAGTTCATTTCAGTTGAACTAAAAGAGTTAAGAATAATTTCATACCATGAGTTTATGGCAGTTACTCTGGAAAATTAGTTTATATGACATTGCTTAGTACAACTCTTAATTTTAACTACAATGGGTTGAGTTGTGGTTCTGGTATAAAAGGCTGTGTACTTATAGGAAAAGTTTACCCAGGCATTAAAGCAGTTCTGTTTGAAAAACCTGAGACAGTTCAGTCTTTGATCATTAGGGATTTTATTCTGGGTTTGTTTTTTGGTTGGGTCTGTTTTTCCCTAATTCTTTTTTTCCCAGAATTTTCACCATAATAATATTTGCTTTAAGCCCAGTAGGACCTGTATATGTACGTCCCTTTCTGCTGGGTCCTAAAAGCTACGGGTTTGATGGAGGAGGTTTTTGAATAACTTGACCAGCTGCAGCTGATAATGGTATCAAATTGGTTCTCTCTGCATTTCTCAGTGTTGCATAATACTGAGAGTAATGGCTATTTTTTAAAATCTACTATTAAATAAAATTTAGTGAGGCTGTTTAAAACCATAGGCATAAATCATATTTACCTGCTATACCTGAGATGATTACAATTAGAAAAGAGATTTTTTTTTCCCCTCCATTAATTTATGCTTTTCCTTTTTCAGTTTCTTCAGAAGACTCAAACTACCAAAGTTCTTTCAGCTGTTTTGTCAGCAGTGCTTCGTTTGACTGCAACTTTCCATTGACATTTTACATATAAATAATATAAATATAAATAATATAAATATAAATCATGGTAATAATTTTTTTCCTGATGAATACACTCTTACAGACATCTGCAGATGAATAATTGTGAAACTCAGGGCTCACTAGAGTGATTTCTTTACTAAAGAACTAAGGACAGTAATTGTTTTTGTTAGAATCTTTTGGCAGGTGCGGGGTAGGGGAGAATTAAACAGGCAGGAAAGAGAATCCCATCCTTGTTGCTGCCATGTGCTCTTGGAAGCTGCTTAATATGACAGGTCTAGTATGAGCCTAGAGAAATCTCCCTTGTGGAAGGTTTTGGAGCTGTGTGCCCTGTTCTGCCTGGACAGCATCGGGAGCTCCCACCAGCCCTGGCGCTTCAGCAGCCACTTGGGCCTGCATTTTACTGCTGTAATGAGCTGATGAGACAGTTTTGCTCTTGCACAAGTTTCTGCAGTACTCTCCAAACCACTGACCAACTTGCTGGCCAGAGAGAAGTGATTTGCTCTGTGGTGGTCTAACGACTGTGGCATAGAACATATGAAGCCTGGCAGCAGCAGGGTTTCTCTGCAGAAGCAGCTTTTGTATTCCGAATCAAGGTGCTGTCTAAATAAAGACAGTAGTGTTTCATTTCACATTTCTTTATACCATTTGCACATCTGGTTACTTTCAGATTTACTGCAGTTTCTTTGAAAGGTTAAAAATATTTTGTTACATGAACAGCCTTCTGGTCATTTGATTTAAATTGTGTCATTCTTACTGGGAAGAAGAAAGTCCAGGAATTTTATCATATATAGAACTTTCACTTTTGCATGCCAGAGATACAAAGGAGAATTAAAAAATGACAGTTATATAAAACTTTTTTATGACCTGTTTTTATTGTAACCTCTTGAGTCTAAAGATTCATTGAGGCAGGAACTATATTTCTATGACTTCTCTGTCCTTTTCTATTTTATGAATTCTCTGTTTTCAATTTTGAACCACTGTTTCCCTGTTCTGTCTGCAGAACTGGTATCATGACAGGCTTTTCCCTTGGAGAAGAATGTCCATTCTTTGTCCTGGTCTGCAGAAGTGGATGCTTGCTCAGGATTTGGCTGTTTTGTTCCAGTCGTGGGGTCTAAGCTCATTACAAGATGTGCACCAGCTCAAGGGTAAAAAAAAGGCATTAACTTAGTCTTTGGAGAGAAGAACAGATTTACTGTTGGGTTCAGCTCTTCCTTATCCTTAGGAGTCATCTTCAGTAATTAGCCTGGATGTAAACATGATCTATCTTAGAAAATATTTTGGGTTCACTGCTATCCAGTCTACGCCTTCAGAGAAAGGCTCCTTGTAGCCCTGAGAAGCAGCTCTGTCTTCTGGGCTCTGCTTGGGTGCTGTCACTGCCATTTCTGCTCTGCTGACGTTTCTGACCTGCTTCAGCAGCGGCCCTGCATTGCAGAGGCTGCTTGGGCTGTTAATGTTCCTTGGTGCCTAAGCCTTAGGTATGCAATAGCTCATGACATCTCACAGCTATCCCGATTTTTAAAGCTGTCCCTAGCTGTAGCTTGCCCTTTGCCGGGGCACAAGTGATCTCTTGACACAGTGACAGGGACCACAGAGGTTACCTGGGACAGCTTGGGACAATGTGTTCACTCACTCAAAACACAGTGACCAGTGTGTTGGGGCATTCACTGGGGCTGTAACAGCCTATGTCTTTTTCTTCATGCACTGTTTCACAGAGATTATTTCTATTTTTCACCATTATTCTGTTATTTTTTTATTTCTAAATATGGGTTGGCCTCCATGCAAAGTGGAAGTTAGGTACCCATGGACGTGTTTCAACTCTGATCCAGTCTTGAAATACGACATAAAGTTCAGGGATACTGATGATAATAGTGATGCCTTAAGTTTTAGCTTCCATATTTTTCAGATTCTGTACTGCCTTAGTGTGTAACTGTGAATTTCATATAAAGTGTTAGCACATTCATGTGTGTTAGCACATTCTCCTCACAGTTTAGTTAGACAAAACAATCTTTTTCTAGCCTGTGTCCCAAGGACATCATTGCAGCTTCAGGCCCAAAAAGTGTAAACAACAGCAAATTGAGGAGAGCAATCTGGGAGGATGGGACTTCATAACCTGAAGCTGTAATTGGACATTTAACCTCAATATGCTAAGGGACCAAAACTTATAAAAGTGTGAAAACTTGTGAGTGGACGTCCATCTTGCGTCCATCTTGGTTAGAGACAGCTGGGCTCTTGTACCACCCAAGGTTCATCCTCTGAAGGCCTTTTAATAAATGCCTACTTTATTCCTTTAACTCTGTCTAACCGCTGTTCCAGGTAGCCTCTCTAGGCATCAATAGCCTAAGAGTAAATGAAATGCCTACTTTATTCCTTTAACTCTGTCTAACCGCTGTTCCAGGTAGCCTCTCTAGGCCTCAATAGCCTAAGAGTAAAATAATGGCTTTAAAAAAATCTTGATGTTTAACTCACCTTTCTGTAGCCCTTAGCAAACTTAGATTGTGCCCCACATGAAAATAATCAGAATATTTTGAAGGCATTCACCCCACCCACAAGGACTTGTAGGTATATTTTAAACAAGGTAATCCTATTTGTTAGGTAGCAGGTTCACATATACAGGCAGGTAGTTTCTCTTTTTTCTTACATTTTAAAAACCCCAGGTTTAGTATATGTGTCTAGTAACGTGCAGTGAGACTAGGTTGAAACTGCCTCCTGCATGCAGTTCTTGAGAATAGGAATAATCTATTTCCATGACAGGAACACAGTGTTTTTTATTTATTGCTTTGTGTGGGGGTCGAGTCTGAGCAGAGGTTTGCATGTGCAGGGACCACACTGAGGCAGCCTCTGTTCCCCAGCTCTCCTGGAGCCGCTGTCCCCACTGCTGACCCAGCCAGCTCATCGCTGCTCAGCACCTTCCCTGTCCGTGCTGCTGCTCTTCCTGGTTACCAAACAGGTATTGCTTAGCTGCTTTAGTGGAAGTTATGCAACCTGAGTGTGGCCTTACATTTTCATCCATGCTTAACTGACCTTCGGCATTTTTGGCAGCTATACAGAAAGCATCATTAAATAGGAACCATGCACAACAAAGAATATTGTTCTGTTGTGCCACAAATCTTATGCTGCTGAATCACGTGTGTAAGAGGGGATAGGAGACTGCAACATTTTGGTTAGGAACATAACTGTATAGTGGCATATTTTATATTTTTCTGTATATTTTATATGCAGAAAAATGATATTGTTTCTGTTTCTATCTCTAGAAGTCATCTTCCAGAGCCCAAAGGTAGGGGATTAATCACACCATGTGAAAAGATTAAGGAAGATTAAATTCTTCACTTGCATATGTCTCCCGGACTTCACTGGAATTGTATTCATCTGTTCTAAATTTCCTTTTTGTTACATGTCATATCTGCTATTAGTGGTAGAAACTCCTGATT